CCTCAGCGGCCCGTCGCAGCCCTCCCCCCGTGGCCCGTCGCCGCCCTTTCACCTGCGGCCCCGTCGCCACCCTTACAGCGGCCCCATCGCTGCCCTTGCAGCGGCCCCGTTGCCGTCCTCCCCTTACGACCCGTCGCAGCCCTCCCCTTACAGCCCGTCGCCGCCCTTACAGCCGCCCCGTCGCCGCCCTTACAACGGCCCCGTCGCCGCCCTTACAGCGGCCCCGTCGCCGCCCTCCCCTTACGGCCCGTCGCCGCCCTTTCAGCGGCCCCGCCGCCTTCTTCAGCGGCCCCGTCACCACCCCTGCAGCGGCCTCGACGCCGCCCCTTCAGCGGCCCTCCCGCCGCCTCCTCTGCGGCCCCGTCGCCGCTCACTTCAGCGGCCCCGCCGCCCTTCGCGACCCCGCCTTCCTTAGCGGCACAGCCGCCCAGCACCCGAGCCGCCGAGCAGCCGAGCCGCCCAACAGCCAAGCCACCAAGCCGCCCAGCAGCCGAGCCGCCAAGCCATTGAGCCGCCGAGCCGCCCAGCAGCCGAGCCGCCAAGCCGCCCAGCAGTCGAGCCGCCGAGCAGCCGAGCCGCCCAGCAGCCGAGCCGCCGAGCCGCCCAGTCGCCGAGCAGCCGAGCCGCCCAGTTGCCGAGCCGCCAAGCCGCCCGAGCCGCCCTGTCCGGCAAGAGCAGCGCTTCTAACACTACACTGCCCTTACCCTACTGTTCGCGCTGCTAGTCTACTGCTGTCATGGCTACCCCTAGTGTCCTCGCTTTTGACGCTGAGGGACGGGCCATTGACTTTGACGTCTGGATAGATGACCTGCAGCTTCTCTTACAGTGCGATAGGGCAAAAGGTCTCTCCCTCTTTGACCTCACCTCTGGTGCCTCTCCTCCCCCTGCTGCTGATGCCGACGCCACTGTTCGCTCACAGTGGGCCACACGCGATGCTGCTGCACGTCTTGGTGAGCGTCGCCACCTGCCTACCTCTGAGCGTGCGCACTTTAGTTAGTACAAGAGTGCTCAGACCTTGTACGACGCTGTAGTTGCACGCTACTCCTCCCCTGCCACTGCTGCACTGAGCCGCCTACCGTACCTCTTCCCTGACCTTGCTGCCTTTCCCACAGTTGCTGACCTCATTACGCACCTCCGCACTAGTGACACTCGCTACCGCGCTGCGCTTCCTGCTGAGTTCTGCGCCAAGAACCCCCCCCCCCATGTACATCACCCTCTACTACATAGTCACCCGGCTCCCTGACTCCCTTCGTTCGGTCAGCGACCACTTCCTCTCTGTTTGCCCCACCACACTCACCGTTGACCTCCTCGAGGAGCGCCTCCTGGCAGCTGAGAAGAGTATAGTTGCTGTAGGAGCCTCTCGTGGTGACCCTCGTGCCCCCTTCTTTGAGGGGTGCTCCCCCTCCTCCCTTTTGCCCTCTATTGCCTCTACTGCTACGGAGTAGGTCGGTGCTGCGTCTGCCCCTAGCGGGAGACGCCGCACCGGCAAGGGCAAGGGGGGCAAGGGCGCTGGAGGGGCTGGCGGGGGCGGTGGAGGTGGCGGTGGAGGCGGCGGAGGGAGTGGGGGGGGCGGTGGGAGTGGTGGCGGGGGTGGGGGCTTCGGTGGCGACGGTGGAGGCGGAGGCGGCGGCGGCGGTGGCGGTGGAAGCGGAGGAGGAGGCGGTGGCGGCAGTGGCGGAGGTTTTGGCGCTGAGGCTACTGTTGTCGGTCCTGGAGGCGGTCCTGTCGGGGGTGCTACTGGTGCTGCTGGAGGCGCTGGAGCTGGAGGTGCTCCTGGCGCTGGTGCTGCCACTGGGGGTGCTGGTACTGTCCCAGCTGTGTCTGGAGTCGCCGCGCGGCCTCGGCCGTACTTCGTTCCGCTCCTTCAGCACGTTCTTGGTCTCCCGCCTTCTACTTGTCCTCCTCCTCCCTTAGAGTGTCCACAGCCTGTCCCGTCACAGTTACAGTTACAGCCGTCCTCCCCACTGCCTGCTCCTTCTCCCTACTCTGGTCCTACAGGAGGTCTTGCTGAGCGTCGTGAGCCTGCGTCTCGCCCTGCGTCGCCTACCCGTCCTGCTCGCACTAGTGGTCGTGGTTCGCGTCACCGTCCTCCTCCTATCCCTGGCACGCACCGGATGTCTCTGCGTCCGTCCACTGCTCCTCTGCGTGCCCCTTTGCCTTCTCCTCCTCAGTCCTCTCTTCCTGCTCTTGCCGACCCGTAGTCGGACTCTCTTCGTGCTGCCTGTCCTACTATCACGCGTCTCCTGGCTACTGTTGTCACTGACCCTTCCTTTGAGTCCACTGCTGCGTCTGCCTTGGTTGCTGAGATTGTCGACTTTGCTTCTCGCTGTCGGCTAGACTACGCTGCTAGTCTTGTCGCTGAGTCTGTCTCTCCTCCGTCCGTCGGGGGTGAGTGTGCCCTTCGCACGGACGTCCTTGAGGACACGCAAGAGGAGTTCCAGTGTCTAGCTGCTGCTTCACCTCATCTCGTGTCCGTACTGCTTACCCCTGAGGGAGACCCGGATGCACTTGACATCCCGACTCCGCGCTCTTACGCTGAGGCGATAGAGGGTCCCTACTCCTCTCACTAGCAGGCAGCTATGGATGCAGAGATGGCTTCCTGGAAGTCCACAGGCACCTACGTTGACAAGGCTCCCCCGCCTGGGGCGAACATCGTCACTGGCATGTGGATTTTCAGGGTGAAGCGGCCGCCGGGTTCTCCGCCTGTCTTCAAGGCGCGTTACGTGGCTCGTGGCTTCAGTCAGCGGCAGGGAGTTGACTACTTTCAGACCTTCTCTCCCACCCCGAAGATGACCACTCTTCAGGTACTGCTGCACATAGCTGCTCACCGCGACTACGAGCTGCACTCTCTTGACTTCAGCACTGCTTTCTTGCAGGGCAGCCTGCACGAGGAGATATGGCTGCGTCGCCCACTTGGCTTCACTGGGTCTTTTCCCCCTGGCACCTAGTGGAGCCTCCGGCGGCCAGTCTACGGTCTCCGACAGGCGCCCCGTGAGTGGCACGACACACTGAGGACTACACTTGCGGCTCTTGGGTTTGCTCCTTCTACTGCCGACCCGTCGCTGTTTCTGCGCACCGACACCTCTTTGCCGCCGTTCTACATCCTCGTGTACGTCGACGACTTGGTCTTTGCCACTGCTGACACTGCTGGACTCGCCCACGTAAAGTCCGAGCTGCAGAAGAGACACACGTGCACAGGCCTGGGTGAACTGCGCAGCTACCTTGGCTTGCAGATCACCCGGGACAGAGCACGCCGCACCATTACCCTGACTCAGTCACACATGGTGCAGCAGATCCTTCAGCGCTTCGGCTTCACGTACTCCTCGCCTCAGGCCACTCCTCTGCCTACTCGCCACTCGCTCTCAGCTCTGCCTTTGGATGAGTCCGTAGAGTCGAGTGGCCCGTACCCAGAGCTTGTTGGCTGCCTCATATACCTGATGACCTGCACACGACCTGACCTTGCATACCCTCTTAGCATTCTTGCACGCTATGTTGCTCCTGGGAGACACAGACCGGAACACATGGCTACAGCGAAGAGGGTGTTGCGCTACTTGTGCAGAACGTCGGGCATGGGGCTTGTGCTTGGAGGGCAGAGTCCAGTGGTCCTCACTGGGCACGCAGACGCTTCTTGGGCAGACGACCAGGCTACGCAGCGGTCGTCACAGGGTTACACCTTCAGCCTTGGTTCCGGCTCTGTTTCGTGGCGGGCTACCCGCTCGTCTTCTGTTCTCGGCTCCAGTTGTGAGGCTGAGATCTACGCTGGGGCCATGGCTGCACAGGAGCTTCGCTGGCTCACCTACCTGCTGACTGACCTTGGAGAGCCACCTCGTTCTCCTCCAGTGTTGTACGTAGACAACAAGGCCATGCTAGCCTTGTGTCGAGAGCAGAGACTGGAGCACAGAACGAAGTACCTTGCTCTCCGCTACTTCCTTGCTCATGAGCTACAACAGCGTGGTCAGCTGCGACTTGCGTACGTGGCCTTTGAGGCCAACACTGCTGATATCTTCACCAAGGCACTTGCGCCTTGTGATCATCAGCGCTTTTGTACTCAGCTGGGTCTTGTGCCTACCTTGCCTCACTTGCTCACTCCTTGACCTTGTTTGTACTGTTGCATATATATATACACCTGCTCTTGCTTGTCTAGCCTTATATATATATGTAATCCTGCATGTGAACTGGCCTTGTGGCCTTGAACTTGTGCTCGTAATGTGTGGTGACTTCCACCCTGAGCTTGCTTTGCTTTACTTTGCTTGACTGGTCTTGTGACCCCTTGTTCTCCCCCACTTTGCCTATGGGGGTGTGTCAGAACATTATAGCTTATACATTAGTGTAGGCTGTAGTGGGGTAGCCTATAAGGGGTACAACCCAATTAGGGTTAGTACTTGTACCCAACTCTTTCATAGTCCAATCATTTCTCAATCTCTTTTCTCAGAGAGGAGGAACAACGGGATGGGAGGGTAGAGCGGCAGGATGGAAGGGGAGAGGAACGGGAGTCGGGGAGGAAAGACAGATTGTGAGGGGAGGGAGGAAGGGCGTGGAGAGGGCATTACATAGCAAGAGCGAAGGCGACGAGGTCGGTGATGAACCGGGTGGATACAATGGGCGATCTGGAGAGTGTTTCAGAGACTAATGATTGGGGAGAAGAGACGAAAGGCGATGGGAAGGCATTTCGGAGCGAGCACGAGAGCGACGAGGTCGGTGATGGGAAGGGAGAGAGGAAGGGCGACGGGAGGGAGTTGAGTGCGAGCACGAAGGCGACGAGGCAGGCGATGGGAGGAGAAAGTGGGTGGGGGACGGGAAGGCGTTTTGTGGCGAGCGGGAAGGCGATGGGGTGGGTGATGGTGGGTGGGAGAGGAAATTGCGACGGCTGCATCTAGGGCGACGGGAAGAACGAGAGGGAGAACGAGAGGGAGACGGGACGATTTGGGGGGCGACAGGGCTACAACGTGGGTGATGCGAAGGGAGAGAGGAAGGGCGATTTGAGGCGAGGGCGACGGCGACTAGGAGGGTGATGTGAGGGGAGAGAGAAAGGGTGACGCGATGGTGACGGACGATGTGAGGGAAGAGGTGAGGGTGATAAGAGGGGTGATACGAACCGAGAGAAAAAGGGTGATGGGGGGAGAGAGAGAGGGCAACGAGGGTGATGGGAAGGCGGCGACGAGGGTGCCGCGAGGAGCGACGAAAAAAGCGAGGGCATATGTGACGGGGAGAGTAACGCTGCGAGGGAAAAGCGAGAGGGGCCGACGATCACGGGGCGACGGGGCGACGGGCAGGCATTTCGGGGCGAGCGCGAAGACGCCGAGGTGGGTGATGGGGCGGGAGAGATGAAGGGCGACGGAAGAGAGGAAGACGGGAGGGGAGGGGCGACGGGAGAGAAGACGGGTGACAGAAGAGAGGATAGGAGACGGGAGAAAGAAAGGGTGATGGGAGAGAGGAAGGGCGACGGGAGGAAGGAAGGGCGGCGGGAGAGAGAATAGGCGACAGGAGAGAGGAAGGGCGACGGGAGAGAGGAAGGGCGACGGGAGAGAGGAAGGGCGACGGGAGAGTAGGAAGGACGACGGGAGAGAAAGGCGAAGGGAGAGTATGAAGGGCCATGGAATAGTAGAAAGGGCGACGAGAGAGTAGGAAGGGCAACGGGAGAGAAAGGCGACGGGAGAAAAGGGCGACGGAAGAGAAGGAAGGGCGGCGGGAGAGAAAGAAGGGCGGCGGGAGAGGAAAGCGACGGGAGAGGAAGGGCTGTTAGAAACTAAGGACGGAGTCAATGAAGATTAGGAGCCTAAATTTCTCAAAATCGTTGGCTTGAAATTCTTGACAGAATCGTCGAGTTCACAAGAAACGCCGTCGACGAAAAACGCACTGTGAAAACTTCACGAATTTCAGATATGTTGTAGCTCTAATCCATGGCTACAATTCCCAAGTTGAATCGTATCAAATGGTGGAGTAAATCTCGAGTTATGATTTTCGGCGCACTAGGGGGTATGCTGCCACACGCTTAACTCAATCACAATGGTTCTCACAAGTTCCACAAAGTTACACACAAGAGAGTTAGGGTAGCACTAAACCAGGTAGGAGGGAAGAGGAGGACGAGAGGGAAGGTCCCAAGAGATTCCCCAACCAAGGAAACCCCATGCCACACAATTCCCTTCCCCATAGGCAACCCCACTTTCACATTTGTCACTTTCCCAACTCATGCCATCCACCTTAACCCAACTTGGCCACACTTGCCAACCTGGTTTGGTTTCACCCAACCACTTGGCAGCAACTACAGTAGAAAAGACGAATTTCCCAACCCCCAAAAGTCTGTACCCCATATTGAGTCAACCCCACAACTCCCCATAGTCACCACAACCAAATATCAAAAGCATACGAACTCCAACGTTCGTAACTTTCTTGTTCGTGCTCCGATTGAAGCGATACTTGGTTCGTCGGAAAGCTCTTGAGCAGAGGAGTCACTTCAGATATCTGCTCAAGCCAAATAACATTCACACACACACTCAGAAAATCCAAACCACACAAGACACAAATTTCTTGCACACGCTCACACCACGCATGCAACGCACAAACACATGATGGGAGGCAGACAGACGTGAATGCATATGGTTGCATCACACAACAAACTCCCCCTCTGGCTGCCAACCATCATCCCACATTCCATAGCTCAAGCATGCACTCTCAATGCACACTCATCCCAGCAAGCTTCATTCACTTCCAACACTCATCCCAAGGGACAATCATCTCCTTCCAACATCCCACTTCCAACATCTCCTCTTTGCTCAAATCTGTAGCACCCTCTGCAGCGTCTGTTTCAAAACACTATCCACCAAACCATCTCATTGCAGCTCCATAGCAATACGCTATCTCATCCTCATCCATCTGTTCAGCCACACTTCCAGCCGGTACCACACTTGGCGTGCCACGGCTCGCATAGGTCAGCCGGTTAGGAGGGCGCACATCCCTCTTAGGACGGTCAGCCGGATGTGCGGCACCTTGTGGAGCATCTTGCTGCTGCTGCTGCGGCTGCTGCTGCTGCTGTTGCTCCACCACCTCGGGTTCTCCCCCATCCTCAGTCACCCCAGAGATCTCCTCCTCTGAGATGGCAACCTCCACTTGCCTCGAAGGCCGCTGCATCTCATCAGCCTCAATGATCAGCGGTGTAGTGAGAAGCTTCTGCTGCTGCTGCTTCCACTCCTTGTAGTACAAGGACTCAAGGAACTTCACATCCCTCGACACAGTGAGCTGCTGGCTGGTCAAGTCCCAAATCAGCCAGCCCTTGTGATCCTTAGCAAGCCCCAAGTGCACACCCCATCTCCCAGAAGCTTCCAGTTTTCCCCTCTTCTCCTTAGGCACATGAAACACCACCATACAGCCATAAGTTCTCAGCATGTTGACCGCAGGCACACTCCCATACCACTTGGTGTAGGGGACCCATTGCTTGTCCCCCACAGTCGCCAGCACCCGGTTCTTCACAACAACGACCTGACGCAGTGCTGTCACCCAAAACGGATCCGGCAGCCCTGCACGCCCAAGGAGAGTGCGAGCACCTTCCTGCAGGGTCCGGTTGAACCGCTCAGCCACGCCATTCTGCTGAGGGTTGTAAGGCACTGTGAGCTGATGCTGGATCCCCTTCCGCTTCAGCTCCTTCTCAAAATCAGCGCCAATGAACTCTCCCCCATTGTCGGTGCGGATCACCTTCACTTTGTGTCCGCTCTCCCTTTGTGCTCTCGGCATCCACTCCTTGAGAACAGCCGCTGCCACCTCCCCCTTAGTCTTGAGAGGGTAGACCCACACCGCACGTGTGTGGTCATCCACAATGGTTAGGAAATAGCGGCTGCCCGAGAGAGAAGGGGCCCTCGTGGGGCCCACCACGTCCATGTGCACAAGTGCAAGTGGAGCCTTCGCTGGTCCCGTGCTGCTGCTGAAGGGAAACTTCGTGAACTTGGTCTCAAGGCATGTAGGGCAGCTCCCAATCTCCTTTGCTCCCCCCTTCACCTCCAGCCCCTTCAAGCACCCATCCTTTACCAACTTCTGCAGCATAGGAATGTTCACATGGCATAGCCTCTCATGCCACGTCTCCCAATCAGCCTCACCACTCCCAGATGAAGCCTTTGCCCATGCAGCTGTCGCATCCACACCAGCAAGCACCTCACCATGTGGTTGCTGTGACTGCTGCACCTTCTTAACTGCATCCAGGACCCCTGCAGTTGGTGCAGTCTCCTCTCCTCCCGCAGTTGCTTTAGCCGCTGCCGCTGCCTTTGCCGTTGCTGGTGGTTTCCCCTTCTAGGGGATGATGGGCAGCTGCCATAGGTCCTTGATGCAGCTGCTCTTCTCCTCCAAGTTCCACAGCAGCAACTTCCCAAGCTTTGCACGGCAGCTTGTTGGGCCGAAGGTAACTTCAGCCTTGCTCTTCTGCAGCCGGCGCACAGAAAGAAGGTTAGCGGACAAACCTTCAACCAACAGCATATTCCCAAGCCCCACAAGCTCTCCATTGGCTCCCATCACCTTGGCATTCCCAACACCAATCACAGGGAGCAAAGCACCTGAAGCGGCAGCCACAAACTTGATCTTCCCAGGAGGTTTTACCTCATCAAGCAAATCTGCCCGTGGGGTCATATGACTCGTGCAACCTGAATCGATCACCCAGTGAGTGAGGGGGTGCATCACAACCTTCCCTACTGAACCCACATCACCCCCACTCCCTTCCACATCCTCAACCATGAGGAACATCCCAGGGTCAGCTTTACCTTGTGCACCATCACCTTGTGCACCTGAACCTTGCACAGCGCCACCTCGTGCACGTTCACCAGTTGGCGGCTTCATGCCTGGAGGCGCCCATCCTTCAGGCCGGCTGAAACACTTGAACCATGGGTGTCCAGCCTTCTTGCAGTACCAGCACGCACCCTCCATTCGGGTACTCCCCTTGCCACCAGAGCTCCCATGCCCCTCATTGTAGTCACCTCGGCCTCTCCCTCTGCCAAAGCCTCTTGCAGCTCCATACCCCTCAGCAGTTTTGTTGGCAGCACCACCTCCAGTGTGGCGCCTGCGGAAGTCCTCCTGCAGGATCTGCTGCCGTAGCCACTCAGGCGTCCATTTGTCCTGCTGAACGTTGAGGGTGGGGATGAGGTTGTCCCACGAGTTGTCGAGCACCGAGATGATCTTGGTGCACTGTTGCATCTGCGACACTTCGCTGCCCGCCGCTGCCATCCTCGCATAGGTGTCCTTGATCTTGTCAAGGACCGGCTTCACATCATCTCCCGGCCGCATGGAGAGGGCAGCCAACTCCTTCTCCAATACGATCACCATCGGCAGCGTGTTGGGTTGAACCACGTCGCGTAGCAGCTTCCACGCCTTCGGTCCCGAGTCATCGAGCTCCACCAAATCCTTGATGTGCTGGAACATGTCGTTGTTGACCGACTGTAGAATCAAGTCGTACAGCACCGCGCTCCGCTCAATCCACCGATCGCGGGCATCTCCTTCCTCGGGCATCTTCTCCTCTCCCATAGCCAATTTCAGCAGCTTGTAGCGCTTGAAGGCGCTCCTTATCCGCCCACTCCATTCTTCATAGTTGGAGCCATCCAATGCCTCAATCTTGGATGGTGGCGGCTCACTCTTCTTCTCAGCTCCTTCTCCACTCCCTTGACTCATCTTCTCTGCTCCCAATCACAATTTCAGCTCCCCCTTTGCTGTCCACACCGAAGTCCCACAATATTTTCACAAGTGTCGGCGCCAACGAAATTTCGGCAGAGTTTCCCCTTAGCGGAAGTCACATCCAACCTCCGGAACTCCACTTAGGCACGCCCACAGGCCATGGTGGGTCTAGGAGGGTCTTCACACTTCAGTAGACTCCCCACAAGGTCCTTAATCGGCTCTGATACCACTTGTTAGAAACTAAGGACGGAGTCAATGAAGATTAGGAGCCTAAATTTCTCAAAATCGTTGGCTTGAAATTCTGGACAGAATCGTCGAGTTCACAAGAAACGCCGTCGACGAAAAACGCACTGTGAAAACTTCACGAATTTCAGATATGATGTAGCTCTAATCCATGGCTACAATTCCCAAGTTGAATCGTATCAAATGGTGGAGTAAATCTCGAGTTATGATTTTCGGCGCACTAGGGGGTATGCTGCCACACGCTTAACTCAATCACAATGGTTCTCACAAGTTCCACAAAGTTACACACAAGAGAGTTAGGGTAGCACTAAACCAGGTAGGAGGGAAGAGGAGGACGAGAGGGAAGGTCCCAAGAGATTCCCCAACCAAGGAAACCCCATGCCACACAATTCCCTTCCCCATAGGCAACCCCACTTTCACATTTGTCACTTTCCCAACTCATGCCATCCACCTTAACCCAACTTGGCCACACTTGCCAACCTGGTTTGGTTTCACCCAACCACTTGGCAGCAACTACAGTAGAAAAGACGAATTTCCCAACCCCCAAAAGTCTGTACCCCATATTGAGTCAACCCCACAACTCCCCATAGTCACCACAACCAAATATCAAAAGCATACGAACTCCAACGTTCGTAACTTTCTTGTTCGTGCTCCGATTGAAGCGATACTTGGTTCGTCGGAAAGCTCTTGAGCAGAGGAGTCACTTCAGATATCTGCTCAAGCCAAATAACATTCACACACACTCAGAAAATCCAAACCACACAAGACACAAATTTCTTGCACACGCTCACACCACGCATGCAACGCACAAACACATGATGGGAGGCAGACAGACGTGAATGCATATGGTTGCATCACACAACAAGGGCAACGGGAGAGAAGGAAGGGCGGCGGGAGAGAAGGAAGGGCGGCAGGAGAGGAAAGCGACGGAAGAGGAAGGGCAACGGGAGAGGAAAGGCGAAGGGAGAGGAAAGCAACGGAGGAAGGGCAACGGGAGAGGAAAGGCGACGGGAGAGGAAAGGAGACGGGAGAGGAAAGGCGATGGGAGGGGAGGGGAGAGATAGCGTGGCGACGCGAACTGAGGGGAGGGCCGCGACAGGAGATAGCGAGGGCGTCGTCGATGGAGGCAACAATTCGGGCGACGGGACGGCGTCGGGACGGACGGCGCGAGGACGAGTGAGTCGGGAGGACAAGTGAGGCGGGACAGGAAGGCGGCGAGAGGGTAATCTAAACGGCACAATTACTGCGCAATCATGACATATAATCACTACGCCCCTAAGTTGCGGTAACAACAGCCTAAGTTGGGGCTATATGGCTAGACAAGCAACTAAAAACCAAGAAGCACGGAAAACTGAATGGAAGACGTAGTAGTACTTCACCCATGCCCAACTTGAAACGCGAAGCTCGGCAAAAAATCGTAGGA